GAAACTTGAACAGCTTCACTTTTCTTTTATATTTCGCTAGCTATGATTAAGGAATTTTTTTTTATTGTGCAGAATGAGTACATTGAGTTTGAATTCACTATGCATATGCATATGAATACAGTGCGTTTCCAATGCAGTGTGCACGCGCGCCTACTGTCGCAAATTCTCATTAAAAACACTGTACCCATTTAATAAACGAAAGATAAATAAATGAATCTTTCATTAAGCTGTATCAGAAATCTGTTTGATTGATTTCATATGTAACTTACAGTAATCAATCTATTTTAGATGCCACCAAAATCAACGGGTTCTCGAAAAAAAAAGCTAATGTTCAATGGCTATTGCTGCCTTTGTGGATTAGGAAAAAAAAATAGTAACAGACATAAGTTGATTTTTATTAGGAATGTTGAACAAGCGCAACGATTTCGCGCAATATTCGAGCCGCATGTGTCTCATTTACAACAGATTTCATGTTTAGCTGGTCATTCTTATCATGCATCATGTTATTCAAAGTTTCAGAAAAGAAGACAACGTTTATGTAGGTATTAGACAAACTCTGCCGCCCAGGTTTCATTATTTGGATTTCGACTTCTTTGTTTATAGCACATAGTGATGAAGTGACAACAAATGAAAGAGAAGGTGCTATCGGAAGCGTTTCTTTAGCCGAAAGTGAGCAAGAAGCTTTTAATATCGAGGAAGGTATATACTATTGTTAGAATGTTTCGTCTGCTGTGGTTTGTGATTGTAAACATTTTGTTCTTTTTTTATTCAGATCCAATAATTACAACAACATCAAATAATCATGGTTATTCATGTGTGAACCCGACTGTCTGTTCTTTTACCTCTCCTGGTCAGACCTTTGAATTTTTAGTTATAATATTATAAATTTTCCAAGTGTTTTTTTGTTTAATTCAAGGTCAAGAAAGGGCAATCAACAGCAATAATCAATGGGAAGAAATGGCTTTTCTAGACGATGCTCAAGAAGCTGGTCAGTTTTTTATTATACTGTCTGCTACGTTTCAACTACGCTTTCACTTGTCTCACTCTACTGCGCAGAGTAGAGTGAGACAAGTGAAGCCGTTGTATCACTAATCATAATTTTCCCTTCTACTTCCATTTGAATAAAATTCTAACAAATGCTTCTTTTCGTTTCAAGATAACCTACCGGATATCAATGATCCTGACGAAAGTAATCCAAGTAGTGCTCTAACTGATCGAATGAGTTCAAGTAAGCGAATATTGTAGCCATACTCTTTACTTATTGGTTATATAACCTATTTCATACATTTTTAATTGTAGCACATTCCATATCAGCGAATAATTTCTTTGATCAGCTGACAAGTCCAGTACATCTTGACCCATTGACTGTCGCAACAAATCATGGTGTTGAAAGAGACTCACGCTTTACAGTTTTGATTACACCTCCAGTTCTAAATCCGCTATCAACTTTCACATCTGTTTCAAGACATGCTACAGCAACGAGAAGTACGTATAGACAACCTTATTCCGAAAGTGTAGTGGTGTCTATTTGTTTTCCTTTTAGAACTAAATTTTTTTTTACCTAGTGGAAGTGCATTTGGACCATGTAATTACGAAGGAATTGGTAAGAAGTTGTAATGAAAAAAAATAACAAATAAGAGTTCTCACTGGAAAAGGTTAAGACTATCTGGTAGTTTATTTTTAATCTCCTTCTTTTGTCCTTAGATCAAAAAATATTTTCTTTGTGGGAAGATTTAATTAGTGTATGTGCCAAAGCAATGAATATTAATAACGAGAATAAAATTATTTTGGAAATTCAAAACCAGATTCATGCATTATTGAAAAAATTGTGCGAGGTAGTCCAACGTGAAATGTCCGAGAAAAAAAATGCGCCTGTGAATCAAAAATATCAAACTAAAGAAAATATTTCGAGATCATCAATAATACATGGATCGTTTACGTCATCAAGTGTAAGCAATGTTGAATTCTTGAATTGTGAAAATAGTAATAATTATAATAATAATAATAATAACAGTAATAACAATAATAATCATAATAACAACCACAATTTGACAAGATTAACAGCTTATGGTATCGAGAACGATCGAAATGTGTTTGTTGAGGACGAGAACGAAAAACTCTGAATGAT